GGCAGGGAGGGATAGTCCTAGTCTCTCACTTCAGCAGCTGGGAAGTGGACTCCAGAAGGAATATTACATTTCTTTTGGTAACTCTGCCAAGAAAGGGAGGAAATCCATAATTTGAGCAAAATACTTTTTTTTTTTTGTAGGGTGGGGTGAGATAGGAAGGGGGAAATGAAAATCCTTTATAATGGGTTGATTGGGATGGCTCTTATCCTGCAACTCTCTCTCAGGCTGTAAGAAATGTTCAGCTTCTCTTACTTAGTTTAACAAAGTCTTTACAAAGAGAGCTTCCATCAAGAGTGCACGCAGGTTATATGTTGAACTGCATGATTTGAGATCCTGATAGTGTTTTTTGGATTAATTAGCTAATAACAAAGATAGTCTTGCATGTCCTGGATCATGTAACTTTATGAGGTCTTGATGGTTATGACACCCCAGCAGAGGTGGTAGAATGATGGACTCTGAGCTTTAAGAGCATTTTTCTTGAATTTCATTGAGTGTTCACATTCAGTGTTCCTTCATCCTGTGTTTCCTGTCATGCTTCTAGGAAGTTGGGCTGTACTTCAGTTACTTTCTGCTGTAGGGCTGTATAGGTCCTGGTAAAAATAGCAGTCTACCTTCAGTGAGTCAGCCTTCAGCAGTCTTGAAGTTCTCTGCTGGGTGGCTTCTCTGAGAACATGAATGCCAAGATCTTGATTTCACGGAGCACTTCATGATGGATTTTAAGCATGTAGTTTAGCTTAGTATTTTGCTGGACTGCATACTAAGAAAGGTCAGGGTGTTCATTGGCTGGTGAATAGTGGTCCCCTCACAGCATTTTACACGTCATTGGTCTTCATAAGGTGGTTTAGTCTCCTGAATCTTTGGATGTTCAATCCAGTTGCTGAGGTGAGAGGTACCTGGTTAAGTCAAACACTCAGTGTAATGTCAGTTGATTATCTTAGGTCATCATGGAACAATTCTTAAAGATTTGCATGTATAGAGAGTGTGTTGATCATGATTGAAGCAAAATAGTCTGTGGGGGAGAAAAGGATCTTTTCTTATCAAATGATTAAATTTGTATGGTGATACTCTTTTTAAATTTCTAAGGTTTGAGAACTGCTCTCCTGAATTGCAGTGATGCTCATCACCTTTTTTAATGTATTCTGGGAATGGCTCTGGGGGGTGCTGTTGAGGAAGCCAATCAAATTATATGTCAGCACTTGATACCATCACTGGGCTTGATTTAAATCCCCTGGTATAGGGGATCGAATGTCTGACCAACACTTGAAAATCATGGCAGTTCAGTCTCTGCTACCCTGCTATTGGCAAAGGTGAGAGACGGATTGGTCAAGTTCCTACATCCCCTTTCTCATGTCCTCCATATGTTCTGTCCTCTTTCTTACCTCTATTTTGAATAAATAAAATGACTGGGAAATAAAAAGTGGATGTTTCTAAAACATGTTTAAATTAGCTGGATTGAGAATCGCTATATGGAGGAGGCAGGTTGTGTGAATAATGTATCTATAGTAAAACAAAAAGACAAAACAAATAACACCCCCCCCAAGACCCCTCCACCCATATAGTCTTCCCCACCCAACCCTCACCCCTTCCAGCCAGGAACTGCTGATTTGTGTGAGAGAACAAGGTGTCTGTTACAGGAGCAACTGCAGCAATGAACTGATGCTCTGGGCCAAACCAATGTGTGACTCTCTTCTGAAATGCCTCTTTCAGCAGCAGGAGAATCAAGGTCTGCTCCCCAGCTAGAAAAGTGACCAGCACTGTAAGACAGAGGCTGCTTTTTTGACCTTGGATTCACCTTTTTTTGAGCCTTGGAAATTACATCTAGTCTTAGTAGGGTTTGTGCATTGAGCTCAGGATGTCTGGTTGGGCCAGTATGTATTGTGAGGGGGTTCTGGCATGAGTGTGTTTTCCATCACTGTTCAAGCTGGTGACTTAAAATCTGTACATGGGGAGAACTTAACTGAGGGTTGAATGTAGGGAGGAGAAGTGTTTTGGAGTAATGAATGGAATTGGATGTAGGCGGAAAGCCTGAATTCTGTCTGGGAGAGTAATAAGCAATGAGGAGGCTGCTGGACCTGACCTGACTTTTCAGTACTGTGCATTCCTCATCTCAGATGCTATCTGGCCTCACAAGCTCCTGCAAGGGCTCTCTTTAAAAAAGGAATTAATCTTCTTACAACCTAGGCTAACTCTATAGTTTTTTTCTTTTTATTTTTTTTAAACAGTTAGGAGAAATAAAGATCTCATAGCTTCCTAGATTCAGTTTTATTTGGTGTAGCCCTACTGATCATAAACTTAGAGTTGGCTTTCTAGGGAATGAAAATCTTTTCTGTGTGTGGCTTCTGTTTTTGTTTAAAATGGGTCACATGCACAGGAATGCAGTCAAATTATAATGGTGACTAAGTGCCGGAAAGCATAGAAAAGGGGAGGGAAGGGTGAGCAGAAAAAAAGGAGCCTGAGGCTACGGAAGGAAGGTTGGGAAAATGAGAATCTGGCCAGGCCCCAGGGCCAGGTTAGAGATTCCTACACCCATTAACAACCACAGATGTTTATTTACACGGAGCTAATCTTTGTTTTAAAAATGACAAAGTAACCAAAAATTCCACTTTTGGGAAGTGGGTTGGGGGCATGGTAGGGGTGAGTGGAGAGAGCTGGTTCTGATAGGGCAATGATCTCCATCTCTCAAGCATCTTCCCTTCATCCTATGCATCTGGGAACACTGGCTGTTGAGAAATGCATGAAAGAGGGATAAACTCTTGTAATCTAGTAAGTGGTTCACAACCCCTAGTTACAAAGGATAACTTCAAGACTTTCTTCTCATTGGTACTTTTCTGATCTTTTCTACCTGAGCAACTCCACCAAGGATATTGAATAATTAAGTTTATGATACGAGAAATATGGGAGCAAAAGCTGCCTTTCCTCCCTTCTTTAATCAACCCTGGATCATGAAAGCAAAACAGACGTTGAACGTCTGCTTGAACTGTATATATTCACGTAGACTCTAAAGAGACTGTGGTCCCAGGTCTCTGTGGCACCTACCTTCTGTCACCTCTTGAGCTGTGTTGATCTTGGCTTGTCTCAGCTCATCCCAATAACTTTGATTTGTATTCCAGCAACTGCTTATGAACTACAACATCTCTTCTAGTAACTTTGACTATAGAGAATTTTCCAGTGATGTGGAATTCTCTATCCTTTGGTGAGCTGCTGCAAAAGATAGTCTGTTTTGAGGGGTGTGTGCATTGGATAGTTACACGGATGAATGAATTTTAGTTTGATCATATCTTGATTTCTAAGTATTGTATCTGGTTATGTGTTTGTCAGGCAAGTGAGGGTCTGGAGCATTTTGTTTACTAGTCTTCTGGCTTCTAGTTTCAGTGTTCTCCTGACTAGTATTTCCTCCCTCTGTTCTTGTATAGTGTTGTCCTCATCTTAACTGGCTTCCTTTAGTCTCTTTTAGAAGAGTGATGTCTTGTTTCTCTGGTTGTTTTAGTTGTTTATTTCTATGTCATCTTGTTTTGATTACATTTTGTGTGAACCTGTGTTGCGTTCAGTATACTAGATCAGGTTGTGATTGGATTTAAGGCTTGTATAGTAGTACACTAGTACAGTCATTGGGGATGGCTTTCTCACTCTGCTCGGTGTTCCTTTCTTGCCAGCTCTCATGACTGTGCTTGCTTTAATGTGGCTCAAGCACCATCAATGTCTGCCAGTTCATCATTGTGGAACCAGAGTGAGAGCATACCTGTGACCAGCTTGAGTGTGTTTGTTGTCTGTATAGCATCACTCCTTGTTGCTAATCTCATCTCTCTTCCTCTGTCTGCAGAGCACCTGGCATTCCAGTGAAGGAAAGGGTGAAAGTATCTCGGAACTGGAGGCACGGACGCTGCCGCAGGGAGACGGTCCTGAAATGGAAATGCAAGCAAGTGGCTCCTTTCTCTTCTACTGTGTTCTGTGTCAGCTGCTGCGGGGCCTTGGGTTTGCATCTGTGCCCTGAAATGAGATGTTTCCTGCTCCTTGTGATCTGTAGAATCTTAAAAGTGATGTTGCTGGCCTGTATTGGGTGTTGCTAGCTAGCTGGACATGGGGTGACTGGAGCTGCTGTCTTGCCCTAGGGATTCACGCTGAGAGTCGAGAGTTCCTTTCTTAGTAAGGGCTTTAATTTGTCATTGTTCTGGTCTCTGCAGTTCTGGCTGAATTTAGCAATCTTTGCTACAGACTTCAAACTGTTATGTTCCTATCTATTGCTGTATACTGTGAGTGATTTTTCTGTCCTGCTCTCACAGTGAGCATACCTTGTCCCAGACATGGACTTATGCATCCCCTCAAAGTGCTTGGTTTGTTTCATGCTTTGTCCTGGCCTCTGATTTGGATGTACAAACTTAAAATGCTAATTGCCATTCTTCTACCTTATGCTTCTTCATTATTCTACCTCATACTTCTCTCCACTAAAAAAAAAAGTATATTTGACATTAGTAAGAGGAGATTGTTAAATTCTTGCTTGTAAAGGTGTACTCAGCTTTCAAAGCAAAGCATAAGATAGGTCTCTTGTTTGAATAGCACATCTAAATTTTCTGCCTTCACATCATCAGACAGCAGGAAAAATGAGAGACTAAGGTTTGTTAGCTGCTGAAGAACAGGGACCTGCTACTGAGCTTTCATGCCTTTTTGTGCTGTATATATTGAAGTGGTGGGTAATGTGCCACTGCTTTTCTAAAGTCCTGGGAACAGCTGTAATGAGCAGTGGTTTTTGGTGCAGGTTGTATACCTGCCTTTGAAGTGCTTGCAACCATCTGTGAAGACAGGCTCTGTGGATATTAGAGATCATTACTAAACCAGCTTCCCAAGTGAAAAGGTAAGGACTGATTTAATGAGGCCACCATCCAAACTGCATCTTCTAATTTTCATTTATTCTGCTTCAAATTTGTTACTTCTCCTTATGAAAAAGCCATAGAAAAAGGTAAAAAGCTAAACTCCAGCAGGAGGAGAGCCACAGAAACTGGCTGTAGTCTAGGTAAGCTGGATATTCACTTGCTTTTAGAGGACTGCGTAGGAGTGGAGGAAGGAAGGGGAAATCAAAGTCTGCCTAAAACCAAAGCTGCTGCTCCAAAGATGCTTCTTACTTTTTCCATGCATATGATCGAGTCCCAGATGAACATTATAACCTATACTCAACTGCTTTGTCTGTGTGACTAAAAGCCTGTTATTGGAGATGAATGCAGGCAAGCAGGAACCTTCTATCTAATAAGCAGTCTTGTCCTCTTGCTTGTTTCTGGTTCCTCGTCATGATGTTACAAGGTGCAGCTGTGTGTAATGGCTCTGCTGACACAGAAAATCATGACCTCTGAGGATGAATGATCTGAAAAAAAAGTGGGAGACAAGTTTTTATGAGAAGCCTCCCTGCTTTCAAAACAGTTTGTTCATTAACAGTTTGAAAACTGAAAGGCTGTTCTATAGGAAGGCTCTGGTTTTGCTTAACGTTTGCATGAGTATTGGTGCACTCAGCAATGACTGTGGAGTGGAGACAATTTCACAGATCCGTGCTGCACAGGACCCGAACCCTGTATCTGGCCTTGCCGTACCCAGAAGGCCTATTGCTGATTCTTTGGTGGCTACATAAAAGCAAAGACCTCACTGCCTAAGTGTGCATTGTGGCCTGTTACATCTACTGTATTTTGGTTTTGTTTCAAGAATAAATTAACTTCTTGTCTGCATCGTCTATCATCACATTGCTTGAATGTCTCCTCTTCTTTCTCCCTGGAAGTGAAGCATATTTTCTGCTTGTAACTTCAATCTTCAAAATATTTTGGAACAACTCCTTTAGCAGTCCACTGCTTTTGGCCTGGAACCTGTCTGTAGGAACCTGCTGCTGTCCCATAGATAGCAAGGGTCAGAAATGGTATATGGGCTCTTCTGAAAGACAGACAACAGAAATCAAGAGGTTGCTCTGCAGTTGTTCTTGGCTCAGCAGTGGAAGAGGTGTGAATGTAGAAAAATACTGCATCTGCATGATGAGCACAAAGTTATTGGATAGCCTCAGGCTTACCCTGCTGTTTTACATATGAGCATACAGAGAATGTAGGAGGTGGAGGACTTTCTGTCTGTAGGAAGACCTTTGTTATTTGGTGTGACCTGCTCCTGGGCTCAGATGTGTGTGTGAAACAGTGGCAGCTTTGTGGTCTCTGCTGAACATCAGCAAATAATGTGCCTGATCAAGACTGACTGACTGCACAAAGAGCTTTGTATTGAAAGCTCTAGTAGAAGTGCTCAGCATAGCTCGCTGATAGTCTAGTTTCTTAAAAAGTACAGGACTCATGAAGAGGGGTCAGGGAACCTTAAGTATTTCCTATCTAAACTCACTAGACTCTTGGCCATCTTCTCTTTAAGAGATTCCATGCTTCCTTTTCCTCATCTCTTGGTTAGAAAAATGCCAGCAATGTGATTTGCTTTTTATGTTGCTGTACAAGCTTCACTTCTTAGCTGTGGTACTATATTAAGCCTTCCTTTTGTATGTGACCAGCAGCTCCAACTGCTGCTCCAACAGTTTTCTTGAGTGGGCATTTGCTTTTGTTGATATGTTTACATAAGCGATCTTTTTTTCTTTGTGTGAAGTTTTTTTTAGTTTGTTTTCTCCTCCCCACTCCTGCACCCTCTCAACCTGCTGTCTGTTTGCAGTTTGATGCCCTGGATAGAGCTGGATGGTGAGTATCTCTACCTGTCTCAAGCGGAGAACATCCAGGCCTACCAGCTCTGCCCAGATGGTACAGGTTTGCAGCATCACCCTCAAGCTATCTTCTCTGGCCACCAGGAGGATGTATGTCGCTTTGTTCTTGTCAACTCCCACATCGTCAGTGGAGGCGGGTAAGTTCACAGAAGCACAGAGTCATCTAGGTTGAAAAAGACCTTGAAGATCACCTAATCCAACCATTAACCTAACATTGACAGTTCAGAGCTATACTATATCCCTAAGCACTCTGTCAAAGTTGGATGAATGAAGGAGCCCAAGGAATGTGGGAGGGAAGTTGGAAATGTTTTGTGTAGCCAGCCCAGAGTAGAGGGGTCAATCTTGCTACACAGTATCCTCATGCTTGGCTGTGTTCAACTGCTGATGCTTCCTCTCTTACAATGGCTCTGTCCTGAAGAAGCTTCTGCTATTGCAGTGGAGGAGCTGAGGCTCGTGCTGTTGATCTTATAAAGCGTCCTACTCCCTTTTGAACTTGTATAGGTATCCACAGGATTGTTGAATTGGAATTGACTGCTCAAGCAATTCTGACTGATGTGCAATTTTCATTTCTTTCCCTGTTAGGGTAGCTAGACTGTGTTCTAGTATCAGAACTGCTGGTTAACTGGGGCTGCAGTGGTGCGTAAAGCTTTCTAGACACAAGTATATGTTTATTAGACCTACTGGTATAATTGTGGACAGGGGGAAAGCTGCCAAGCATTCCAGCACACAGACACTTCTCCAATTAATTTTGCCTTTGATTGGCCTTTTTTAATTACAGCAAATGACAGAACTGTTATTTATAAATTTTTAGCTATTAATATACACAGCGCTTAAGCACAGAATTGGGAGATACAAGTGTGGCTGTCTGCCTTGCATATATTGAGACTCTCCCCTGTGAACTGTAGCCCAAAATTCAGGTGAAAATGAAGGCATGCATTTAAAATTCCAGTAACTGTATTGGTTGAAAAAAGTCTAAATGTCTTTGTAGTTAATTCAAAGCACAATACTCTTCATGGGTGTTCTGAAATGAATGAAAAGCTGAGGCTTGGACATGGGTGAGAATGACCTTACTCTTGTTCCCTTACTCCAGCCATTCAGCATCCAACCAGGATTCTGGCATGCTCAAATTAATAGTAGGAGGAATGGCTGCTTTGTTAGTTTTGCAGTTTAATGCTAAGTGGAGGGTGCAAAGATAGCCACGAAAACTTTAATGTGTGGCAGATCAGACTTTGAGTGGCCAGATGTGGGATTGCAAGAGAACAGGTGATGGGTGAGGAGTGGGCAGTTAATACTGCATGAATTTCAGCTCTCATGAGAGATTAGTCCTGGTCTTTTTGTGGCACTCCTAAGCACTAATGGAAGGTGCATGTCTAAGGGAGATGCAGCTGATACAGACTCCCTGCATGGGGATTTGTTTTTCAGAGATGGAAACATTGTCCTTCACAAGATCCATGGCTCGTACAGTGTCAAATTCTCTGCACATGAACAGGAGGTGAACTGTGTGGACTTCCAAGGTGGCCTCATTGTCAGTGGCTCCCGGGACAGAACAGCGAAGGTGAGCAGTGATGTTCCAGCAGCTGCAGGTGCTGCTGCAGAGGTGACCTCAGGGGTCTTGCACCATAATGTTCGTCAGCAGAATTGTTGAGCCCTGTCTCGTGTCTGCAGAAGGAGTGCTGGGTATCTCGGTATAGGCTCATGTCTCTGCAACAACCTTTACTGTGCCAAGCTTTTAAGAAAGACATTTGACAATACTGTATGATATCAGCTGCTGGTTTAAACTAGGAATTGCAGAAGGTGGCAGCTGATGTTTTGGTTCTTTCACTCCACATCTGTCTCATGCTATAGTGGAGATCCATGCTAGTTAGTCTGAAATTTGCTGAACGTATCTCAAGCACATCCTTGCTTTGTGATGAAGTGCTGCTTCACATGCTCTGTCGTAGATTTGATCTCTTTAAAGGATAGCATGATGTCTTTTCCAAATCTGTGGGCTTTCTTTATGGTTCTTGGTTTGTATGCCAGGAGTGAAGTTAGACTATGAATACTGTTAGCTCACATTTTTCTTTTTCAGTTGGCATCGCTAAATCCTGTCACATAATTTTTTACTTCTTTTTTTTTTTTTTTTTTTTGAGACGGGACCTTGTTGATTTTTGTCTTTCTGGATCTGGTTGGCGGTGTTCTATTCTTACATGGACCTAGAGACTTGTTCTCCTGAGCTGTAACCAGCTCTGGTTTAGTATTTTAGGAAACTCCATGTAGTTGTTTCACTCTTATCCTGTAGGATCTTCACAACCACTTGTTTTGTTGTTGGAAGTGGTTGCTGTATGTTGAAAGCTTTGGCTGTTGCTCAGGGTAGGCTGACAGATACTTTTGGTCCCTGGTACATATAGAGCATTAATGGAGGAAACACGAAAAAAAAATGCAATTCCTGTTTTGCAAGAGGGGTAGCTGGGGCAAAGACAGACTTGAATGTTTCTTTCAAGGTTTTATAGGAAGTGTGTGGTAATGGGTAACTGACAGGCTGCTGGGTAGTATGACCCTATGTATTCTTGTTGGTCCCTCTGTATGGGTGTACACCTGGGTAAAATCACTCCCAAGCAGAGCAGTGTTCAGATGCGACGGGCACTGTTGCAGATGCTGCTTGCCTCCTGGGAGCAAGGCCTTGATGCTGCTTTGTCTCACACTTAAGCAGGGCTGCTCCACTCTGTGGATCCTCTTTGCTGGGAGAGTGCCTTCTTGCTGCTTCCCTGGCAGCCGAAGGACAGACCTCCTCGACCTCGAGAACAAATTCCTGAAGGCTAGAGGGAATTTCAGGCTGTTTTTCTTGGAGCTAGTGTGAGATATTTCCCACCCAGTGCTCCCTACAGCATAGGCTCTAAGGATGTTCACCTCTTAGTTTTTATCATCTCTTTTGTAGGCCGCCTTGTTTGCATGAATGAGACCCTTGGAGGGTGGAAGAGAATCCCTACCAGCCTTTTAAAGGGGCTCTAAGTGTCTAAGCTATTGAGGGCTCTGCTGAGTGTTGATTAGGACTAAGCCCTGAAGAGCTGCTAATGTACATTCCTGTGTGATAGGCACCAGATAGTGTGCTCTGAGCAATATTTTTAACCTGTAGGAGATAGGGGATGCCTTAAAAGAGTTAAGCTTTTCTGCTGCTTTTGCTGACACTAGGTGCTAAATTCCCCGCTGACAAGAATAGCCTGCAATCCTGGGCATTATCAACAAACAAACAAATAGGGCACTCCCAGCTTTGAAGTCTTGAAGTGAAACATTGGGGGTTGGTTACAGAGAACTGGGGGGCTTGAGTCCTGTGGACCAAGAATGAAGGGAAGGTGGAGAAAATGAGGCCTCAGCAAGAATCTGGGGGACTTTATTAGGACCCAGCAAGAAAGGGCGGGTGTGTGGTGAACTGGTGGAAGGGGATGTGCATGTATGCACTGATGAGGGAGGGAAGAGATTCTCTCACATTGTCAGTGAGCAAGGGGGGCATGTTTGAAAATAGCTTGGGGTGTACTTAAGAAACTTGGTCAAAAGGGGTGGATTTATAAAAAACTGTTTTACAGGGTAGCAAGCAATTAATTTTATAGATAATACGAATGGAATTTTTTCAGGGATGGTACGAAGTCCTCCCACACTGTTCAAGAGAACAACAGAGATTTGAACAAATCCTACTTCAAGTTTATTTAACTACAGAAAATGAGAAATCTGTGAGTGCTGCCCTAGAGAGCATGTGGTGATGGGGGTACTCTCTCTGTTACCAGTGGGATGAAAGGTCATACTCATAAGCTGAATCTTTGTGTAACTTTAAGTGCTTATTTCTGTCAGTGATTGAAGGCTCTCTTCCTCAAAAATAAGTAATGGAAATTCAGGGAGACAGTCTCAGAGAAGGTGAGCATGGCAGTTTTGGCAGCTCTCCCAGAACAACATTAGCAGTGTGCATCCTGCCTTCTGGGTGTTGTGGCATAACATGCATCTCTCTCTTCAGGTTTGGTCCCTGTCCGCGGGCAGAGTTGGGCAGTGTCTACATACAGTGCAGACAGAGGATCGAGTGTGGTCCATTGCTATCAGCCCATTATTAAGGTAACTGAGATCTCTTTATTCCCAATTTCCAACAGAGGAAAGTAGAAGAGTTGTGTGTCTGCTAATCTCTCCAAGGCACCGGTGTGGCACTTCAGGGACTTGATTTGGGTGGGGGCTGATGAGATGCTTGTCCCTGCAGCAGGAGCTCAGGGAAGAGCATGTGGTCTTTGTTCCCCATAACAGTGGAGTGGTCTGCTCAAAAGGAGCTGTGAAAATGGCCCTGTGTTCCTGTTATGTCTCAGGTGGGACCTGTTTGCTCTTGCTTGCACAGTGAACTCTTTGACTTGCTAATTAGAAGCAATGAGCCAGATCCTCTTGAGCCTTTCTGTACTGAAAAGATGACAACTTACATTGTCATTTTCTGGCAGAAGACATGCTAAGCAAAAAGGTCCCTGCTTGGGACCTGTGTGCAGTGCTCAGAGCTTGGTTAGAGCTCAGTTTTCTTTGAGCATGCTGAACTGGGTAAGGTGGTGGTGGAGTTCAAGGATGAGGTTTTCCAGCCTCTATTGCCTGTAGCCCTGTGATTCTAGTGTGGGCGTAATGCTACAACTTCACCATGGGAGGCAAGAATAGTACCTACACCGGTGTTTTCCAGGGTGTTTTTCATAGTGCTTCTGTTCTTGAGGAAGTAAAAATCTGGGAAACTTAAATTCTCACTGTTAAAATCTTAGAGTGGCCAGCAATGATCTGTGTCTTTAGTTCATTGTTACTCTGGTCTTCTGTATGCAAAGAGAGATTCTTGCTCAGCCTTTCTCAAGGAAGGGGGGAAGAGCTGTTGTTGCTGCCCATGTGATGTCTGCAACTAGTGAATTTTTCTGCAGAACCGAAATACATCCTACAACTGCTGTCCTCATTCAATTTCCGAGCTTGTTTTGTAAGCAGCAGAAATTTAGTCGTACGGAGCTAATGGCATTATTAGGGAAATGACCCTGGAGGCCTGCTATAATTTTGGCATTCCCTCATCCCATTGCTCCAAGTGTTTGAGACAGTGTTTTTGAAGAAGTGTCATGTGCGTTAAGGCTGCTGCAAGACGTTAGATAGAAGCCCTTTGCTGTCTTCTGTGCTGCAAGAGCCCCTTGTCTAGCAGACAGGCTCTGGCTCTAGCACCATGGCTGGTTAGAGCCTAGTGGCATGCTGCTTCCTACTCCTAAGTGATGACCTACTCAGGTGGCCTCTTGTCAGGACAGTGTTCCTCTCCCTGGTGTGCGTGCTTGTGCACGCTCTCTGTCACAATATTTACCCACAGTCTCCCAAACCCCCCTTTCCTCCCTGCAAGGTGATAAATGGGAGGTGGTGGAACTGCTACCCCTTGAACAAGTAGGCTTAAATTGTGCATTCTCAGTTTTTTTTATGAGACTGTGGACTGTACCAGCCTCCTCCACCAGCCCACCCTACTGCCTGCCCCTTACCCCTCCATATTTTGGGGAGGGGGGTGAGGAGAATTAGAGCCAATTAGCCACATCATTAATTCTTCAATTTGACGGCTGATATAGCAGGGCCTGAAACACGCTGCTGACCTCGTATAATGGGAACCCTGCTCCTTAACATATTGACGATGGGAGAAGTTAATTAAAATTCCACAGAGAGAAGGTGTCGGCTAACCTATAAACCTGTCGCTTCTCAGAACAAATCACAGCCATCCTAGAAGAGAGAGAGGATCAGAGCAGGAGGGCATGTGTTGGGGGAGGGCCAGGACAAGGGGCAAGGGAGATGAATTTTTCCCTAATAGGTTTTATTGCTTGCTGTCTGATGAGTGTGAGTATCAGAAAGATACTATCTTGTTTCTAAGAAAGTCTGCTTTGGGAGCTCTGCGTTTTCTCTTTTATTTGCGAGAGCCCATATTTCACCCATATGCATTCCCTATGCACTTGTGTGTGAAGTTTTTCCTCCCTTGCAGTCTCCATCCTTCCATTGCCAGAGCTTGGATGCATTTGTTCCTCAGTGAGGCTGAACATGGCCTTATAACCTCCACTTCCTCCTAAACATTTGACATGCCCTCCCAATTCTCCTTTCTCACTCGTGCTGCTGTAAACTGAGAGCAACTCCATAGGAATGGATAGTTCCGCTGGTGTAGAAATGATGTAGAATCAGGCTCCAGCCACCTAAATATTTTGTCTCATCACCGCTGAGAACGCACCAGCTCTCTCTACAGTGGACACAGAGAGCTCAGGAACAGTGAGGTAGTGGGGTAGGAGCCGGGAGAGCTCCTGTAGCTTTAGCTATTCAAAAGTGCTTTGGGGAGTCTGCAGTTTCCTGACCTGGAGGTTTGCCAGGACTAAGACTCTCTAGAGTAGTCAGGATGTATTCTTACTGAACCTCAGCTGTCAATGGGCAGGACTGAAACTTGTCTTCTCGCTTTTCAGTGATATCTGCCGCTGTATGAAGCTTCATTAGAAAGTATCCCATGTGCTCCTGACTCACAGCTGGGTTTTCTGCTGTAGTCCTGCTCTGTGGACTGCTGCTCTACTGCTCTAATGGACGGTGCCTGTACTCTCAAACTAAACTTCAGAGACTTATGCTCTTAAAGTGCAGTTCCTCTGGCTTCAGTCATCTTTCTTGGGTATTCAGCTTTGATTTGTCCACATTTTCCTTGTGTCACTACAGAAATCCTCCTGCAGATGTGCTGAGCTAGGGAGGAGGCTTCCATTGTCTTCATGTAGTGATGCTGGGCTGGATGCTTGGAGGGTCTGCAAACAGAATGGTGCCTGTAAAGTAGATTAAGTAGGGTAAAAGGGTACCACGAATACTGGATCTTCTCTTCTTACTGGGGAGGAGAGAACTGTGCTTATTCCATTGTATAAGCTTTTCAGCCTTGGAAGTGTCTTCACAACCAGGTGTGTTACTGGAGCTTCATTGCTTTGGGGATTCTTAACAGTGCCCTGCAGAGTAGTGGGGATGGGGAAATCCTCTGGGTTTTCAGCAAGTCTTCTGTATAGCTGTGCTGGTTGGTGTCCTTGGGACTGCAGGTTGGATATTGTGTCCCATCAGGGACTAGAGAAGAGTCTGAGAGTATCCCTAAAATAAGACACTTAAAATAAGGGTGTCTCAGCTTGCTCCAGCAACTGGTTCAATTGGTCTCCAAAGCTGTCCTCCATGGATCAGTAAAAGGCTGTACTTACAGAGAGGCTGTGTACCCTAAACCATGTTGCTTAGCCACTTGTAGTCCCCTTCCCCCAAGTTCATTTGCCTTTTGAACTCTGTCATGCACATGTTAAACTTTCATTCACTGGTGCTTACTGCAGTGACTTATGTGTGCTCAGGGACCAGGGCAAGCCTGAGTGCAGTGGACCAATTCAAATGTGCAAAGTGAGGCAAAGCCAGAGGTTTCTAGTGGAGTAGTGGCACCTTCATGCTTTGTGATTCCCTGAGGTGGCAGTAGCCAGGGAAGAGAAGTGACCACTTTAATTTGTTTAATTTGAGGGATAAGTTTATAGAGAAAATGAGGTCCAATTGCTTGGCATTTCTGACTGCACAAACATAAGGTTTATGATATACATTGTACTACTGAAATGTTCCTTTATTTAGGGGAAGATTTGTTGCAATTTTTTATTTCCTAATGATACAGAAGTGTATAAACTAGAGGGGAAAAAGAAAAGCAGACCTTGATGTTAAATTCATTGTTAACCTTAGATTCAGAAATTCTTTGGTGTTGAATTATAAAAATTATTCAAATCTAAGCTGGCTTCTCCTGCTGGGTCTGGCCACTGGTATTTGCTATTTAGATTTAAAAATATTTATCATAAGAGCTGGTCTTCCCATGTTGTACTTGCAGTGTGTCAGATTTTAAACCAAGAAAACATGATAGAGGCACAAAAATGTTTTTCAATGTGCAACTGTAGGCAGAGAGAGAGGAAATCTTTGGTGCAGTTTAGGGCAACATCAGGCAACTGTACTGTGTCCTGTTATGGCAGAGATGTGCTTTGGTGTGTAAGCCCAAAAAGTGGTGTCTCCTTTTACAACTGTCATTGGTCTACTGCAGTATATGACCTTTCCTTGCAAATGTCACCTTGGTGAAGTGTGGGTTTACTCCAGAGAGGAAAGTTTGTACCAAAGACTAGGTAACTGCACTGAATGTTTAATTTGAAGGAAAATGAGTAGTTCTGTGAGCTGTTGAATTGAAAAAGCCAGGATTGCTCTATCTCTTCAATTTATGCAGTGTTGTAGTTGAGACCTGACCCCTCTATTTTAACCTGCTAATCTGAATCTCTGTTAACCTGATTGCCTCTCCCATGGAATATTATAGGGACGTAATATCTGGGGAGACCTCTGCCACTGTGGACATCTTCAGTCAAATTGTAAAACATTGCTAAAACTTGCTGGGTAAAGGAAGGAAGAGAAAGGTTACTGATAGGCACCTTGACTTGAATGGGTGTCTTCCATTTCGAACAATCAAAATGATTAATTTTGATGTTTGTTTTTTTTTTTTTTATGGTTATCTATAAACTTTTTGTGATAGTGAAACAATCTGATCTTGCAAATTACATTAGAGCAAAACAAGCCTCTTGAGGTAGCAACATTGCAGTGGTTTTAACCGTACAATTGAAGCCCTAACATGCAGCAGTTAAAATGTTTGATAATGTTCCCCACACCCTCATTTATCAGCAGATATATCCCCTACTGTGTATCAAGATGAGCTGTTGGCTGTAGTAGTGCTCTGTTTTGACCTAGCTTTCTGAGTCTGCTAGGACTTGGGATAAGTAACTAGGTTTCATTCTGGTTTGTTCATTGCCAGCAAAATAGGCAGCAATAGCTCTGCTGTCCTTGGGGATCTCTGTAGAGCCTGGTTGGTTTGAATAATTGAGGGAGGAATCTGACCTGCAGCTGTTTGTTAAGCAGGGACAGGAAGAACCTGCTCAACTGTGAGATCCCAAGGTGGAGTTGCAGGGTTAGTGGTGGTGTTAACTACCATCTCTTACTGACCTCAGAGTGATGGGGATGTGGGTTTCTAGATATATGCAATAGTCATAACTGACTTGGTGCTCTTTCACCCCAAAGCTGAA